CACTTAGATCAACCACACACAAACGCTCTTGGATTGACCTTGGCGGGTGAACCGGGGTATCAATCTAGTTCACGAACAGACATGTATGCCACGCAAAGCGGCTGGGTTCTCTTGGATTTACCCAAAAGAAGCCTTAACTTCAGGTAGTAAATTCTGTTCTGTTCTTCGCCCTTCCGGGCGTTAATTCTCATCCTAATTCCTACTATGTATGTATACAAATATCAAGTATAAATGCGACCTAGCTACGAGATCTAATACCGGTCAACGACTACTCGACCAATCACTAGGCGAAACTCCCACTAGGTGCGGATCTCAGCCGGGTGTTTCAACGGATATGTCGTGTACTCCACACCACCCCCGAATAGTGACCAATAGTCTCTAACGGTTGTCACGTCACTCTTTGATGGGCCGACGAGGACTCATCATGAGTTGTAGTCCACTAAGTTCCGAATTGTGTGAGCCACTTATCGGGGACGGGACTTAACGGTAGCATCCGAAAGTTCCTGCCTTCATCCTCTTCAGTTGAGACTTTTGAGTTAAGAATCGCAACACCACAGAAGCTGGCAGACTTGATCAAGGGTCTATTGTCCGCCAAGATGATCAACTACGCTAGATCACCATGGGCTTCCCCGATCGTGGTGATCATCAAGAAAAATGGAGTGGATATCAGGTTGTGTATCGATTATCGGCTGGTTAACAGCTGAACTCAGCTGATGATCTACCCAATGCCCTTGATCAACGACCTACTTGAAGATCTGGAGTCGACACTTGGGTACTGCTCTTTGGATATGGCGAGTGGATTTTGGGTGGTGAAAATGACGGATCGTGCTCGTTTGATCTCGGCTTTCATAACTCCCTTTGGGTTATTTGAGTGGAATCGAATGCCTTTCGGCCTGAAGAATGCACACCAGATCTATCAACGTATGATCGACAACGTGCTATACGGATTCACCCGGATCCGAAGTCTGAAGATCACAGAAGTACTTGGCTGTGTTTGAGGGCGGGGAACCGGTGGATCCAAGCAAACCATCGGTGTTTGAGCGTAGATCATATATCGATGACATCCTGATCCCCGCCAATAACTGGGATCAACTATGCGACCGAGTCGAGGGTTTGCTCGAAGCATGTGATAAGTGGAACCTGTCGATCAGTGTGGTTAAGAGTTTCTGGGGAATGCCTAAGGTGGGATATCTGGGTCATAAGGTCTCCCACAATGGACTGGAGGCGAACCCGAATGATCTGTCGGCGTTGACGGATCTAGCATTCCCTGGATCACTTCGAACCCTGCAGTCATTTTTGGGAAGTCTGAACTATTACAGCCGATTTATCGAAGACTACGCGATCTATGCGGCAGTTTTGTATGAATTGCTAGAAGTTGACTTTGCTGCGATGACAAAGGAGCCTACCTAAGCGCGGATCCAACAAGTGTTACAAGCGGAGAACGTGGGTCAAGGATCACAGGAAGATCAGGCGGTCGACCACCGAAAGGCTCTAGATCTGGAGGCGCAAGATCCCACTGAGGTGGATCCGCGTTGGATCCATGCTCATCGATCCTTCAGTGCGCTCAAGGCCAAGATTGCTACTACTCCGATCTTACGGCACTTTGATCCAGATCGGAGAGCCACGGCCATGGTGTATGCTAGCGATTGGGCCATTTCGGGGTCATTGATGCAGGAATACAACCAGATCTACTACCCCGTATTTTTGCGAGCCGCACTCTGAAGTCGAATGAGCTAAATTATGGTATCGCGGAGAAAGAGGTATTAGCTCTTCTGAGGATCCTGGATCTTAACTACAATGCACTGGTCGGACGTCCGATTGACACAAAGTGATTTGGAATTTCTCACGGAAGCAAAGATTTGTATGGATCCAGGAATTAGGTAATGGATACAGGATCACGAAGTGTGAATGTGCGGAGGGAACGTGTGAGAAGTAATTGACTTGGAAAAGAGCTAAGGATGGGCCTTAGAGTCTGGAAGCACTGTGATGCTCAGTCCAGACTCGTCCTCGTCCTGACTACGGGTACTTATGATTGTGGAAAGTGTTGGTGCAAACGTATTGTACCAAACACCCCCTATTGCCTTAGTTCAACCCAGAAAACGTCAGTCCCGAGCTTAAGAGCATCACCAACAAGGACTATTTACGCACGAGACTCACGATCCAAGAAGGGATGGGCAACAGATGGAGTGGTGATATGTTCTACAAGCAGTGTGGAACGTTATATTCCAGAGTCCAATCAAATATCCCAGAATCCCGTGATTAATTCCCGAATCTCGACTCATAACCCCTGAATCCCGAAGGAAATCCCTGATTCCAGACGTCAAAGTGTCTAGAACCAAGGATATCTACGTTTGTATGAAGACATTACGTTATGGATTCAGTGATTCTACAATGAAACAAGACAAGATCCATAGATTCAAGTATATTCCGATGGATTACATATCACGATAGGTTATGGAATCCCTCCTGGAGTCAGAGACCTGATTCGAAGTGTAACCGCGATCAAGTGGTGACAAGTCAGTGCGAAGTGAGGTGAT